GGTTGGATAAAGCTCTGTCAGTTGGGAGACAGATTTATGTCCGTATTTTTCTGTAAACAGAGGCGAGTTAAAAAATGCTTGTATTTAGGGTAGATTCCATGTTACAGGTATACTACCATGTTACAGGTATACTACCTACCTACTGCTCTCCCCCACAACTGCTATCAACTGAACAATACCTTTAGTTTTGTTTGTTGTTGTTCTTGAGGGGTTTTATGCCATATTTCATAGCATGATATGCACTTGATCTAAGGAGCCCCTGTGGAGAAAATTGTCCATATTTAGACAAAATTGACCTTTCCACCAATTTTCTTTTGGCAATCTATACAGATCTCTAAGCCTTGATAAGGAGGGAATTTAATTTTTTTGTGTGGAAATGAGGGTGGGGCACCATTTATTAGAAGGGGGCTTCTATTAAAATAATAATGGTATTTGTTTTCTTTAAGATTCATGATTCAATATTTTTATTTGGTGATCTAGGCCACTGGCCCATAATACAATAGTATACACAGACAGAATTTATGATCCGAAGTGTACATGTATATATTGTCTTTAAGTTAAATATTGTATGTATCTTCTTGTTCTTGCAGCAATTGGTTTATAAATAATGCAACTTGGTGAATAACAAAATGATTTTTAGTTGATGTAAAGCCAAATTTTTTTCTAAAGATAGATTATTATACCAAGATTTGTCAAAATATTTTTCTCTTGACAAATGAAAAATGCATGTTATTCATTCTCTACAAAATGCCAAATTACTGATTCCAAAAGTTGCACAACTGATGTGAAGTAGTGACACCATTGTGCCTACTAATCATTATAAAACATTAATAACTAGAACATTTGTATTAAACTAAGCTTTGTGGACATAAATATGTAAACCTATGAAAAAATATTTCTCATTATTTAATAATGTTTCAAAATGTTAATACTCTTTTTTGATGACCACATGATTTAATCGTGTCAGATTTAACTAGTGCAATCCTTCACTCTAAAAAAAGGCTGTTTCAAATACATAAACATTTCCAGCATCTTGCAATAACCATACAGAGCCAAAATGTTAGTTAAAATAAATGTCTCACATATTAAGCCCATGTAACACATCCATTATCATTTAACGCGTCAAATATTATGTAGCATTCTGATGGGTATCTGCTCATATCCATATGTAACAATTTACAGTAATAATTAACAAACAAAGAACAATATGTAACACACAAGGTTAATCTGCCACATTCTCTAATGGCAATACTGCTATTCACACTATAAAGCAACACAAATAATATTGACAGAACACTTTCAAGACATACTAAATACTATATTTGCCATCCTATAAGTCAATGCTGACTATAAGTCAAATCAGAAAATTTAAAATTTTTTCCATCCTTCATCAATAAGTCAATGCAGAGCATAAGACGAGGCCAAATTAATACCTCAGCTTCATCTTTTTCACTTTGTTTTATTCAGCACTGAATTTTATCATATCTGTAACTATGTACATTTTCAGCTCGGGATCATTAAATATCATTAAAGTATCAAATTTGTTTGAAAATAGGTCTTTTAAACAAATTATGTACTTTTAGCTACATTAAATGATGCTGATTTAAAAATTCATCAAGCTACAGATAGGATGAAATTCATAATGTTATGAGGAATGAAACTATAGTAACAGGGCAGTTTTGTTTGTTTGTTTGAGAGACAGCGATGATTCTAACCAATTTTTCTTCTTGCACATTATGATAAAAATAAAATACGGCCCAATATGAGAGAAATTTTAGCATCATTCATCTTATTTTAAAACCCATCTAGCCGAAGCTTGTCAGAAAGAGAGAAAACAGTAATAATTTAAATAGTAAATATTAACTATTAAAATACATATAATACTCCTTCTGTTTCAGAGTTTAAATATTCACATTATTTATATCCATAGACTCTTATTAGGTTAAATCCCAAAATGTCCATTTAGCATGCTGTCTGAATTTTTTGGCAAGTAAAATGACCACTCCATTCCCAACAATTAAGATCATTCTTTTATCAGTAAGTTCATATACTATTCCTGTACTTAGGAAGATTTAAAAAAAAATTCATGTTAGTTGTTACTTTAAATTGCCCTGACAGTTATGTTTGCAAGTTCAAAAGATGTCACTGGTTTCCAGTACATGAGTCAGCACCTGGCATTTCCTTTCATTATATGGTATAATACCCTATGGGTAGTCTCATTTCCCTATTGATAGTCCAACTAATTTGACCTGGTCTGCAGAATCTGTAGCATATTTAATTATCATGTAAATATCACTACAAAGCCATGTGGTTCTTGGCACAATGGATATGGAAACTAAAACTAGAAGAAATAATGGAGACTAGTGTTGTACTTGTAAACAATTTCTCTGTCTCTCTCTCTCTCTGCATATTTTGTTTGATCACATAATGCAATAAGAAAAGTGTGATTGAATACCTTTCTTTGTCAGGGTTATTCATTTCCTAACTTATCTAGTGCAATTACATCTGATGTAAGTTAATTTAATACTGATGATATTGCAAATATTTTAAAATGTTTTTTTTTCTTACACAATCTTTTCCCCAAAATGAAATATTGTTTTACACAGTATTTTTCATACTTTTGGAGATATTTTTTAACATACGAAAAATTAATTGACGTAATCTATACACAAGTCGATTCGGAAGTCCAGATTTTCTAAAAAGAAAGTACCTACTTATAGGCTATCAAATACAGTATGTACTTTCCCAAATTTCAGAACTATAACACAATACAGGCTTTACAATAGTATCAAATATTTTGAAGGAACATACACAACTGAAGTGCAGAAATTGTCTTTGGTAATAAAAGCTAGCTATAACAAGTTTGATACTCTGAGATACTAATATTTCTTGAGCCTTCATCCTTGATAATTTGCATATCAGCACAAGATCCATATATTTGTAAAATGAAATTACCAACTATTGCCCCATTTAAAAACCACTCACTTATCATTATTCTGTAAAGGTCAGTCACTGTGAAAGATGTTTAATTTTGTCTTGTCCAAATCATCTACCTTAACAGTGTCATAACAAAAGCGTTAAATTAGGAGTGTCTGTTGTTGCGATGCTATCACTAATAAGAGTGCTAAAAGGTCAGTAACATTTTCCAAAATAAAAGTACCTCTAATTTTCTCTCTGTAACCTGTCCTAAGTGGTTAGAGTGTCCACCTCAAGATGCAGGAGGTTGCAGGTTTGAATCCCTGCGAGTCATACCAAAGACTTAAAAAATGGTACTAACAGCTGCCTCGCTAGGTGCTCAGCATTAAGAGGTTAGTGTTAGGACTGGTCTGTCCTGTGTCAGGATAATGTGACTGGGTGGGGCATGATGCCCCAGTGCTAGACATCACTATAAACTGCCAAACTACAGACATCATAGCGATATGCCTGAAAAATTGTTAAAGCTACGTTAAAAATCCAAATCACACACACACACTTAACCAAATCAGATTGTTAATAAACCCAAAAATAAAAATGAATTTGAAGCACAATCTTGTTATCATCATGGAGTGATCAATTTAACCTTCTTTGACTGTTTACACATGACCACATGTTTGAGTCCATTTAATTTAAAATGGATAAAAATATCCCATTTATATCTTTTGAGGCAAAACACAGAAAACATGTTCAATCTGCTTTATAAAAATCTACAAACAACAGGACAGACTGTAAAGTGAATATGTTATCAGTAGTGGAATAACGTTGCCTAAACCCAGCTTGTGTTTTACCAATAATGCAAGTATGTTCAGTCCATTTGCATAAACATTTGTTTAAAATGGAGGTAAACATCTTGCTTATAACATTAATCAATGATATCCTGAAATTAATAGTATCATCTATAGAGCCCTTTATATGTAGTGTCAATAGTTTTATTTAAAAATGCATCTTATTATTTAAGCTAGTTAATTTTGGCATCAGAGCTTTGTAGTACTTATATCAATTGCTGAAATTATTTTTAAGTTTTACGGAGTCATGCCATGACAGTTAAACACCCATAATCATGTCTTAATGAAGCATGTTAGCTGGAATTTGCTATAATATACTCATTTCCATAATTTACCAAACAACTGTTTTTTGTGACATACAACTTCACATTATACTTTACTAGAGTGGTTCTCAACCTTTCTTGGCTATGACCCTTACAAATATTTTTCTGAGCCTCATAACCCTTTTTCATCATTTGGCAAGTTCAAGAAAATCCAGTCATCCTTACAGCATGTCTTCACAACCATGATTTGGGTCATGACCAGGGGGCTGAGAATAATTGCATTGCTAATTAGAATTAGTAGTAGAATTAGAGTAAAATTAATACCTGATCTGTATGAATACTATAATGTCAATTTGTAAATGTTTAGGGTTTGTGTGAGGGTGTGTATGCCTAAAGAAGACATATTTTAAGCTCTACCTTTTGCTATACAGGTGTTTTTGATCTCTAATTTTCTTTGATAACAAAGAAATTCTTAATTTCAAATCTGGCCTTGAAATAAAGCAGGTGCTGATTTATAAACTTTCGTTATTTGTTAAATAGTTTTTATTCTGTCTGCAGCATACACTAAATGAATATAGTAAATGAAATATATTTTCACTATGAAGACGTAGTTGTGACTTATATGGTACTGTATTATGGGTAGATTTTTATCTGCTCTATTGTCATTAATAGCATCATGACCAATGTGAAAAGGTCAGAATACAAAATAAACTTTGAGGATCTGCTACTTATTTTATTGACTAATAAAAAAAATCATTTTGAACTACTGTTCTGTTCTGATTTACTTTTTTGATGACAAGACTTTTAATTCCACTTGCATTACTGTTCTAAATCTGTTTAGTGCATCTATCTTCCATTCAGAATTGCTATTTATAACCTTTTCTTACAAACTGTTCAACAGAACTGAACTTTGAAAGAAAGCATCCCACCATGAAGTTCTGTAAAATATTTTAAAATGACACCTATCCATCAGCAAGACTGCTCTGGTGATTTAGTGGATAGAGTGTCTGCCTCGGATGTGTAAGGTCATGGGTTCGAACCCCAGCTGAGTCATACCAAACACTTATAAAAATGGTATAACAACTGCCTCTCTATATCTTCAGCATTAAGAGGTTAGTGGGACATCATGCTACATGACTGAAGCATGATGCCATAGTGCTAGACATCACTATAAACTGCCATGCATATTTGGCAACCATTACTAAGACATAAATATTTTTAAATGACTTCTTGTTAATCACTCAATACAGTCTGATAAAATTTGACAGAACACATCCTGGCATGAATGTTTTTCAGATGTTGCCAATCTGTCATCAGATATGGCCATTGTTACTAAAAATAAAAACCCATCAAATTTGTATGTTACTACATGACAACGAGCTGGGTCTATCTAGTTGGAAGTTGCATGTGTGTTGTGTATTGCATGACACTGAAAATATGCTGTAGAAAATTGGGTAATACATGATTCAACATGCTCCCCTGAAGGTTTAGTCTAATTCTTTGTCATTATTTCATCTACAACATCATACCATACACCTGTTGACATGGCTTATTGTTAATGCAAATGTATTTATTAGAGAATGAAAATGTGCTTGAGTATGTATAACGTATCACTTATAAGAAACAAAATTATTTCCAGCTGTCCTTCAATCTCCTCCATATTTCACATTTTGACTTTTATAAAATAAGTAATGGCACTGAAAAGTATCACAGGGAGAGCTGAGTAGTGATGGAAGGGGTAAGAACTAAGTGTTTGATGAATACTTCCTGCATATTATTTTATTCCTTTTGTTTTCTTCATTAGTTGTATTCATATCAGCATCTTGCATAATAAATAAAAGCCTATTTTCTGTTCATATTATCTTTTTTTTGTATATACTTTGAACTTTACAGAGTATTAACTTAATGTTATGTATATTTATAATGTGTGATTATCTTTATCTATGACTGTAGATTATAAAGATCATTTGTAAACATTTTCGGCTCCAAGTGGCTAAGTGGTCTAAAGCGCTCACCATTATGGATCACTAGCATCTCACCTCTGTCTGTGTGGGTTCAAGTCTCTGGCTTGGCTATTGTGGATATGTGCAGAAGCTTGTTTGTAGCTTCTCATGGGTTGGTGGGTCTTTTTGGGGTTTTTCCTCCACCATTTATACTGGCCGCCATGTATAGCCTATCTTGTGCTGAGAAATGGCATTAAACTCTATAACAACAACAACATAAACAGCATCTTACATAGCTAATTTCTGTCCATGATTGTAGATTGTAATTTAAGATAATTTTCCTATGCTTACTTGGATTTTAGTTCAGGAAATTGTTTTTTTTCCCTGGAAAAAAACCTGATGTTTTGTCAGATTGATTCACTATTTTTTAAGTAAACAGATCTGTTTATATTTTGGGGAAATCTTCCATTAAGAAGATGAAGTTTTTTTCTAAAAAGGTTATTGTTACATAGGTCAAGTCAGGATGTATATAAGGTTGTTTACATCAAAATTATTCATTTCTATGTTAACATCTGTATAGTGGAATCAGTCTTTTAGCTGTGTTCAGTTGTAATTTGAGAGTATTTATTTATTTAAATATTTCATTGGAATTGGAAAGTGTCTACTAACTATTGGATCAAATCACTAGTTTGGAATTATTGGGAATTTATTCAAAGACAGTCTGGAATATATCATAGTGATACATCAAGATTGTCAGCATATTGGCATAGCTACTGGCATATCAGCACATTTAATACTGGAATTCTCTGGAACACTATACTTTGGTAGTTGTAATAGATAATTTAGATGGGGGGATTTAATTCACAATACTACAAATTCCCTTTAAATTTTCACTTCGTATTCTTGGGAAATAAATTTTTTGTTGAATTTTACTAAACTTGTTAGTTTTGCTTTTTTCTGTTACTGAGTTTAAGACCATATAATCAAAACAATGTTAAAATGCCAAAAAGCTGCAGGAAATCAAAGTCATACAACAATTAGTAACATTCATTTCAGCTGATTATATTCACAGTAAGTTGGTCTGGGTGCTTGTATCACATACAGTTTGATAGGGAAAGGACATCAAATCTTCTGAAACCCAAAGGGTCACCAGTGATCTGCTATCCTTCCAGATCAAAGAAGACGTGATACAAGCACTCAGGTAATGTTACCGTTCTGATGAGGAGTTTATTATATAACCTAAACAATACCTTCATAATACAAAAGACAATGTTTTATGTTGCTGTTGTTAACATTAATTCCTTCCATCTCCTCACATTGCACTTTAAACAGTGTAACTGCTGTTGTCCCTTCACATGGTCATTCTTAATTGACATCAACCCTGACGTTGAAGAATTGCAATCTGTGTCTGATGTACATCTGATAAAAAGATGGTTGTGTTTGTTGGTTTTAAAGGCACTTTAGACACATCAATAGCTATATTATACAGTGGTAATAAGAGCCATGTGGCTTTTCTAAGGAGACATTGTGGCAGCTGACCATGGCCTCAGTGGGTATCAAACCTGCGATCATGATAAAAGCAGCAATCTGTGTCTGATGTACATCTGATAAAAAGGTGGTTGTGTTTGTTGGTTTTAAAGGCACTTTAGACACATCAATAGCTATATTATACAGCGGTAATAAGAGCCATATTGCTTTTCTAAGGAGACATTGTGGCAGCTGACCATGGCCTCAGTGGGTATCAAACCTGCGATCATGATAAAAGCAGCATCGCAGCTAGGACTTAATTTGGGCACTGTAGTGTACCCCTTTAAGTTGAAAAAGGGGGTTCAACCTGGAAAAAAAGGAGGGAGGCTCATCTGGTTGTAGTTGGGACCTCCCAATAGGGCATAAAGAAAGTAGTAAAATTTAAACTAAAACTAAAACAAGTTGTATAATGTCACCCTCTTCTTAAGTAGTATTAAAATATAAAAAATAAAATTCTACATTCTATTTCTTTAGGTCATGTTTTAAAAGTTAATTTTTAATTTTTTTAAAAAAAATTTTCCACTAAAATAAATCATAACCAGGCTACATTTCCACCATACTGTCAATCACTCATATGTCCACCCACAAGTCAGTAATTTAATCATCATTTCAGTAAGATTACAAGGGTTGGCAGATTTATACCTATAACACTATAACATTGTGGATTTTTTCATATATGATTATTAAATGGGGTTCTCAATAGTTGCCAAGTTACAATTCAGGAGTAAAAACCTGGGAGTAGGGACAGACTCATGATAATGTCAGCTGTAAGGCCCAGTAAATGTACAAATAGTTAAAGATCGTGAGTCTTGTTAGTTTCTGATTTATGACCTGGGGGAATATGTTGTTGGAAGCAAGAACTGAATTGAGGACAAATATAATTTTCACATTAGAATTTGTCTTGGCATGCTGAGTAATTGCATATGTGGTACAAGGGTGGGGGTGCCAAGTTACAAGGGTGGGGGTGCCAAGTTACAACATGGACTAAGTAACAGGAGGTTAAAGATGTCTGATGCATTTGTGAATTTATCTGCTCATGCCCAGTGAGACTATGCATGTTTATAGGGTGAGATCCTGATGGTTTCTAAGTTTTGACTTTAGGACCCCAAGTCCTTGCTGGCAACAATAGACCATGGGGGTTAATACTGGCTGCATATCTGTCTTTCATGTCTGAGAAATTCAATTTTATTGAAAGATACTGTAGTAGTAATTGCACCTTGTTATCGTATGATGTTCTGATCCCTTGTAAAGTTCCGGAAAGCTGTTGGGGTGGGGTGACTTAGCTGGAAACACTTTACATCACTGGAGAACTATTGCGCCAGGTTTTGTTTCTACAATAGCTACTGTCAGTTGGAGGATAGAGCATTACAGACTGACAAACAGAGGGAGGCAATCACAATATCCCTGACAATTTATTAAAAAAAAACAAGGGAATAAAAAGTCCAAATAAAACCACAATGGCAAAAATATTGTTCACGAAGACCTACATTGTTTAAGGGTTATGTAGCAGTCTTGACTGACATGAATAGAAATGGAGCAAAGAACAAACTTCATCAAGTTAAAGCATTTGCATCTAAACTGCAATATCCCCAAAGGTAACAAACAAAAAACAAAGAATCCAATTCCCACAATGTTTGGCTCTTGAAAGACATTTAAGGAGCAAGCTACCTAATACATTTTATATGCATACAAGGTTATGTAAAGTGAAAAGAACTTTGTATTTTCAAACAAATAATTGTACATATTTAAAATCATCTAGCAAATGTTAGAAATGTTAAAATGCTTCCTATCATTGCAGCAATGTAAAGTATGGTTGCAAAAGTTCTTTCATATTCTTGTAGAATTCATTACTAATGTTACATAAACAGAAACCATTACGACTGCCTTTAAAGTAAGGTAGGCATCCTTCAAAATAAGGTTAATGAAAATCACTAATGTATAATATAAGCTGCTGCATTTGTTTGCACTTATAGGATATCCATATACAGATGTAGACCATTGCTACTGACTCAATTATAAGCCGACTTTACAATAGGTCGACTCCCCACCCTTTTTATATACAGATGTAGGCTACTGTGATGTACCGTACAGATGTAGATCACTGCTTTGTTCCATATATACTTGATTACAAGTCAACATGACCATAAGTTGACTCCCTCCCTTTTTTCATGTACAGATGTAAACCACAGCTACGTCTGTAATATACGCACATAACCTAAAATTTGTATACCATTGCCTATCTTTAAAAGTAAAAAAGCCAACTACACATTAGTAAATACTAAATGGTATTAAATGCTCTTTCCACTATCACTTGCATTTATAACAGACAAATAAATGTGTAAAATTTTATGCCCTATAATTCTCTTGTACTCGACACTATTCTGCAAAAATAATAAGTTTATTATAACTTCCCTGGTCCATAGAAAGAGAGACAGTATCAAAGCAAACTAATAAAAAATTCAGGACTTTCAAATTTCACAATACTAGAAAGAAAATAATGAGTATAATTTCTTCATGCATTAAGTACATGTTATTTCTTGCATTAGTAAAACTGGCCAGGTCTGTAAAAAATAAAACACAACT